TATCGAAAAAAAAATTATAAGAAAAAATGTCATAGGGGTTGATTATTTCAACCCCTTACAAAAATAGTTCAGGGTTGAAAAAATTTCAAAAAGTGTAGTTTTATTGACAGATAATGTTCACCAAGTTTGGTTTCTTTAGCTTGATGTACGTGGAAGATAAAAAAGAAAAACAATTTTTTTTTGTAATTTTAGGAGGGGCGTAACTTTTCAGGGGAGGGTTTTTTCAAAAAATTTTATACCAAAGACCCCTATTAATTTTCATCGGAGAATCGCCCCTTGAATTTTTTCGGTGTTATTTAGATACACCCTATATATGCTACCCGCTAGTACAAAAATTGAATCGGTCAAAAAAATCGCACGACGGCTTAAAAAATTCGTTGAGATTAGCGCTTTCGAAAGCAACACAAAATGTTTGTCTGGTAGAGAGTTACAAATTCCATGCGTGTCCTCTGAATTTTCAAAATGGCGCCGATATCATCGAAATACCAAAATTTTTGGCTTAAACCTGTTGCAATCCACATTTGACGGTATACGAGCTAGTAATATTCAACACAAAACGTTGATACCGTACTGCTCTACCAAATGTTACGTGCTCCTTGCACAAATTTTAAAATGGCGACCTCAAAATGGCGCTTATATCAGCGAAATAGCTCAATTTTAGGTCAAGATATGCTAATAACACCATTTAATTGCGGTTAAGCTCGTGCTATCTAACTAGAAACGTTCGTAAGCAAGTGCACAACCTAATTTTGTGTGCGCCTTACAAGTTTTCAAAATGGCGCATTCAAAATGGCGCTTATATCAGCGAATTAACACGTTTAAGGTCAAAATTTCCCAGCCAGGACAAAAGGAGGTCCCACAAAGCGCCTACACCGGCCGCATTTGCGGTCGGGGTAGACGACGGATGGCTGTCCAGGCCTACACGAGATGAGGCAGGATAAAGAGGGATAATCCCCCTCGATCCCAAATTATTGAGGCCAATTTCTAGCCATGGAATAATGGCGCGCGGCGCGAAGGCCAAAATCTGAAAACGCCATTTGATCGACTCACTAAAAATATTCCTTGTGTAACGCATCAGCATATGCGGTATACTCTCTTTCAATCTTAAAAATGGCGATTGCAAAATGGCACCGATATCGATGAAATATTCTCTTCAAACTGAGTATAAACTTTTTACCTATAATTATAATGGTTACTTTGTTTTTTTTTTTAATTCAAAAGGTTAAGCCAAAGATTATTATTTTGAAAAAAGTTTATATCAGTTTGAAGAGATTATTTCACCGATATCGGTGCTATTTTGCAGTCGCCATTTTTAAAATTTAAAGAGTATACGGCATGCCCTGATGCGTTACACAAGAAGTATTTTTAGTAAGACTATGGAAGCAATCAAATGGCGTTTTCAGCAGATTTTGACCTTAAACGTGTTAATTCGCTGGTATAGGCGCCATTTTGAATACGCCATTTTGAAAACTTGTAAAGCTCACATAATATTAGGTAGTGCACTTGCTTACGAACGTTTCTAGTTAGATAGCATGAGCTTAACCGCAATTAAATGGCGTTATTAGCAGATCTTGACCTAAAATCGACCTATTTCGCTAATATAAGCGCCATTTTGAGGTCGCCATTTTAAAATTTGTGTAAGCACATATTTGGTAGAGCACTTCCGTATCAATGTTTTGTGTTTAATAACGCTAGTGCATATACCGTCAAATGAGGATTGCAACAGGTTTAAGCCAAAAATTTTGGTATTTCGATGATATCGGCGCCATCTTGAAGTCACCATTTTGAAAATTCAGAGGACACGCATGAAATTTGGTAACTCTCTACCAGACAAACATTTTTTGTTGCATAGCTAAATTTTCGTCATCATCGCTCCTTTTTCAGTAGCACTTCTTTCAAGAGGTCGCCAAAATACGTGGATAGTAGCCGCCATATTGCAACCGCCATCTTGAAAATTAAAAAGTGCCACACGGCTTTCGAAAGCGTTCATCTCAACGAAATTTTTAAGCCGTCGTGCGATTTTTTTGACCGATTAAATTTTTGTACTAGCGGGTAGCAACGTTGGCACGGATCGTTCCATATTTGCCTAGGCCAAGGGTCGGCAACTGGCGGACCGCGGTCCAGGTCCGGACCGCGGAAGGTAAAATACTGGACCGCCAAAAAGTTTTTGAAAGTATAAATTACTCAAATAAATTATTTAAAAAATGTTTTTTACGTTTAAGTGTCAATCTTATAATTTTTTCTAGTATTTTACAATTGTGTGAGTGTTTTGAGTTCTTAATTAGTAAGCAGATTAAATTTGAGTCCAAATTAAAATAAAAAAAATAAGAAATATGAATTTTTTTCTGAACCTCGTTAAAAATTTTCAAAAGTATCCGGACCGCACCTAAAATTACTTGCCGACCCCTGGCCTAGGCATTTAAAAATTAAATATTTTATCCCACCAAACCTTAGCAATTAAATTTAACAACATTTCTTAAATTATACTACAAATCTTATCAACTAAACTATCCAAAACCAACATTTATATTAATAACAACTGATATCCGCTCCCAAGATACAATTAAAATTACCTATCTATAAGTGACTGGAATAATTAAGTATTCCTTACTATTTTATTAATACAGGGTGCGGCAAAAAGGTAGGCAGGATTTCAAATAGTGGTTGCTCGGTTTGTAAAACCGGCAACACTGTGCATGCGGTCGCGTTAGGTAGACAAAAGTATGCAATTTTCAGTTATCGACATGGCTTGGAGCGGAGTGCATCGTGCTTTCGTTGTCGAGGAGTTTATTAGAAATAGGGAATCTGTAATAGCGACGCAGCGTGCCTTCCGTAATCAGTTTGATGTTGGTCGGCATGGCGCGGTTCCGGATGGAATAACAATTCGTCGGTGGGTCTTACACTTCAGGGAAACAGGTTCTGCGCTTAAACGAAAATCTACTGGCCGACCAAGGATAGTAAGACCACCGGAAAATGTGAATGCAGTAAGAGATTCCGTACAACAGTCTCCAAGGCGTTCAGCTCGTAAGCATGCAGCTGCTTTGGGAATTTCCGATAGAAGTGTTCGAAGAATTTTACACAACTCACTCCAAATGCATCCGTACAAAATGATGGTAGTGCAGGAATTAAGTGAAAGATTTTGAAACCCGTACAAATTCATGCCGGGATATTCTTCAAAACATTCCCCGAGGCGCTGTATTCATGTCTAGCGATGAAGCTCACTTTCACCTATCGGGTAGCGTAAATAAGCAAAATTTCCGTTATTGGTCGACAAATAATCCACAGGAACTTCATGAGCGACCACTTCACAGTCCAAAGGTTACCGTCTGGTGTGCAATATCTGAGTTCGGCGTGTGGGGCCCTTACTTTTTCGAAGAAGATGGAATAACGGTAACAGTCAACGGAGATCGATATTTTGATATGCTTAACAATTTCCTGCGTCCAAAAGTTAACGAGATGAATGAAAATCACCGAGAACATCTTTAGTTCCAGCAGGATGGTGCTACATCGCACACCACGCGTCGTTCACTTAATCTTCTTCAAGAAATGTTCCCAAAGTGGTGTCTTTACGGGGTGATCTCGGCTGGCCGCCGCGTTCGCTTGATTTGTCGCCTTGCGACTTTTTTCTTTGGGGTTACCTCAAATCGAGAGTTTTTACACATCGTCCGCGGAATTTGGAAGAATTAAAGGCAGCCATAAGAGAAGAAATTGCCGCAATTCCCCAAGAAATGATCCATCGGGTAATGACGCGCTTCCGTGAGAACCTACAAGAGTGCATCGACAATAATGGCCGTCATTTAAAAGATATCATTTTTAAAAAATAACGTTCCTAAATGGCATGAAATGTAATTTAAAAAATAAAATAAAAAATTTTTGCTTTATGTGGTATGGTTTTTATTGACATCCCAAATAGTACCTATCATTTTGCCGCACCCTGTATATCAGTGAATACATAATTTAAAATTATTAAAAATAAATATTTGTTTATTTGATTTAATAAATTTAAACAATACAATATAGAATCCCTCAACCAAAGATATTCGAAGAATATTCGGGCCCCCATGTTAGAGGGCGACAGTTTAACTGTTACGTTAACTTTTCGTTATTATGAAAAAGGGTAGGCCTCAACTAAGCTATAGTGGAGTCGGGGTGGATTCAGATCTTATAGAATATCTGATTTATTTATTTTCTTTTATAAAGAAGGGCACCAAGTGATTTTTTAAGCCATAACCTAAACTGTTAAAATCACTAAATCACTGGCAAAATGATTTGAGTTCAAAAATGGATGACCTGAATTGTAAGTAAACTTTAGAAATTGAACATAAAGGCAAGTAGTAGTGGTAAAATAATCTACAACAAAAAAAATGCACTTAATTACAGATTAAAATAACATTTATAACACAGCCACACAAAAAAAATTGTGATCCATTTAATCTTATCACGTCAGATATGCAAAGATAAATTGCTAAATAGGTTAACATTGTTATTTGCGACTTCGTGGTGTGTGTTTCGAGTTTGTGTTGTGTAACGTTCAAATACCAGTTAGCGAGAGAGGCACAAGAAAATTAATAAATTAAGTAAATATGGTCACCACTGTATATGCAAATCTTAACACTTTGTGGGAATTAAAGGCAGTAACTCTGGTTGCATATCTAAATAGATTTTATTTAGTTGAAAATTTTTGCATACAGAAAAATAAACGTACATCATGTAAAAATATGGGCAAATATTCATGGCTTCTATATTTCCGTTATCTCCCTTAGACTCCTTAAATTCCTGAAAAAGGCGCAAAGATGAGATATCTAATAATAGTAAACAAATATTACGTTAGAAAATTAAAACAGTAATCGTCTTTTAGTTCTTTGTGCATAATTTTAGTAATGCAGAGTATCTGGTTGTTATTTATTTAAAAAATATTATTGTTAAAAATGGAAGGCATGTATAACGTTGGCTGGATAGAATACAAAAAATGTGAAGGCTTTTTGCGCGAGTTCGGCAAACGTATGCGGGAGATAGATAGCGATTAGCGTGCGGGATTTCCGACGAATATTACACACATTAGATTGTGTTGTGTTAAGGCCTCAGAAAATCTAGGGTGAGTGTTTCATTATTTGAAAAATGCATAATTTGATAATTATTTGTTACCCGCAATTGTATTTGGCACGTTTTGTTTAGACGATTTGGTTTTTGTAGGTCTTAGGCATCTTAAGATATACGTACGAAACTGTTGATTAAAGTTTCTATCCAACGTTTTACATAGGCGTTTCTCGAAATTCCTCCCTGATACCGTAGCTAATGCCATTGCTGTTACCGTTGATGTTGAACAATAAATGAGCCTGGAAAATTAAGGAAGGAAATTATGTCACATGGATAGCGAAGTCTTTTGCCTGTCCTATACTTACCTGACTCGATACCTTAGAAAGAGTAGCCGTGTAGCCCCTGTATTTTACGTAAGCCGAAGGCACTTGCTGAGCTGTCTTGATTACGTGATCCTGAGGCTGTGAGTACTTTTACATTTGTTATAACATTTTGCTGTCTTCTGCAAACCCCAAAGTAGTGGAGAGCTGTTATCGTCGACCATCTTGCCTTGAAACTTTTGATTTTCTCTGCTGCAAGTTCTACAATTTTTTAACAACCTATTTCTCACAAATATTTATTAGAGAACAAATATAGGAACAACTTATTTACCTAATTATAATAATATTTATTGGTCTTAGATGGTAATTAACATATGCCACTTTGGCTTTTGATGTCAATAAAATATACTACGTACAAGGTGGGCCAAAAGAAGTCATCCGATGTTGTTTGGCTCTCATTTTTTTTTCTAAATGAAAAACTTCGATTCTGTTTTTTGATTATGTTTATTTGAACCTTTAGAATTTTATTGGTCAAGTCGAGAAGATGATATCGGCCAAATGGGCGCCGCCACAATTGATTGCTATATGGGCTCGTTTTATGGCATTTTTCATCACTTCGGCGAGAACTTCGGACAACAGATTCTCGCACTCGTATCGAATGTTGTCCTTGAGGGCTTCCAGGGTCTCGGGCTTGTTCACGTAAACATGGGACTTCAAAAAAACCCACAAAAAAAGTCTGGAACGGTTAAATCGGGCGATCTTGCGGGCCAGTGCAAATCGCCAAAACGAGAGATGAGGCGACCCGGGAACGCCGCCTTCAGAATATCGGTTGTGGCTCGCGCAGTGTGTGCCGTTGCTCCGTCCTGTTGGAACCACGTCCTCCAGTCCCAATTCGTTCAATTGCGGCAGAAAAAACTCGGTTAACATGGCCCTATAGCGCGCACCGTCCACTGTTGTCGTTTGACCAGCGGCGTCCTCGAAAAAAAATGGCCCGATGACTCCTCCAGCGTGAACAGCGCACCATGCAGTCACTTTGAGCGGGTGTAATGGCTCCTCGTGCATCACTCGTGGATTTTCGGTGCCCCAGAAGCGATAGTTTTGCTTGTTCACGTACCCGCTGAGATGGAAATGAGCCTCATCGCTCATTATGATTTTGGTCGAAAAATCGTCCACTTCGTCCTCGAGATTGAGGATGGCTTGGGCGTAGGTTACACGCGTTTGGCGGTCGACAGGCAGCAGCTGATGCACGGACTGAACTTTGTACGGAAACATGCGCAGGTCTTTGACCAAAATTCGCCTTAGGGACGACCGGCTGATGGCTAATTGCGAGGCACGGCGTCTGGTCGATGTTTCTGGCGACAGCTCGACATCCTCGGCAACAGCGGCGATATTCTCGGCAGAACGGGCGCTCCGGGGCCGGCCACTCTTGGCAGCGTCTCGTGTAGTCCCATACTCTTCAAGGTTGGTGGCCAAACGGCGCAGTGTTTGCGCAGTCGGTGCCGGACGACCGGGGAATCGGCGACGGAATTCGCGCTGCACCAACACCACAGACGAATTGTTACGCAAAAAAATAGACACGATTATTCCGCGTTGTTGGGGAGTGTATCGCTCCATGGCTTGTTCACTTGTATTCTACATCTGTCTAGTTCACAAATGTCAAAACAGATTTGACATTGACCGCCATTTGCAAAAATAAGAGCATCTTCCAATAGGGTGATTTCTTTTGGTCCACCTGTTATAACAGATAAATAGTAATTTTGTAAACCGAATAACAGCTGTTATCTGGGGATTTGATAAATTGTTTTATTTTTTTATGCTCATTTTAAGTTGCTTATACACTAACGCAAGACAAATACTTACCTGGCATATAACGCCTGCACGAAGATTATTTCTCTACCGTGTAATTGATAACTAAATAATACCCACTCATTTGTTAATAATTAAATACGTTAAATAATGTTCATCTATTGTGTAGTAGTATTTAAGTAATTTTAGGTACTTATTTAATTAATCATTTTTACAAAATCATTACCTGATTAACCTGTCATAGAATTTTATACATTTTAGCTCACATTAAAGTTTGCATTTTAACGCTTCTCTTCCCTTTTTGTCGATTTGTTTCGGTTGGCGCCCAGGCCTAGCTTATTTGTACTTTTCTGTAATAAAAAAAAAATACTTCTCACCCACTGCCTTGCTCCCCGACAAAAATTAGCTGCCGCGCAGTGTGTTAAAAGCAACTGACACACTTAATAACCAACTGTTAGGGTTATAGTTGATATTATAACAGTATGTTTTTAAGTGAATATTACTTATCTCTTCAAGGAGACGTGAAATCGCGTTACGACGCGAAAACGCAGGTTATAGACATTGTTGATCCATATTCTCTCGATGAAAATGAATTAAGTAGAAATTTAAGTTTTTTGCCAAGAGTGACCATTATGGACATGGTGAATTATTTAATTCTAACTCAGTTTCTATACTGGACAACAGTTAAAGGCCTATAAGTCTCTACAGGCTTACAAATATTATTAAGCCTAACTACTAAAAAATGGTCTGGGACGAACAAGATAAAGTTTATTAACTTTGTTTTTTATGGTTTTTAAGCGAAATATTCCCAAAGAATAAGAGAAAAGCCGCTACATTTATGGGTCATCTTATGTTATTACCAGATGGAGCTGTATCGTGTGGTCATTGCACTTGCATGGCAAATGTCATAAAACCTGAACTGTTCTAAAAAGAAACAAAACACATTTGGTGTACCCATATTTACCATTCTTAAATACAGGGTGATTCAGTCATAATGTCATTAATTTTAACCACGTATTCGGAAGGCTTAATAAAGATAGAAAAATCGGGGAAAAAATTTTTTTACTCGACTTTTAAAATGAAGGAAATCAACCCATAACTCCCGCTAAGAGGGCGGCCCTGCCAGATGCCTGGATAATTTTGTAACGTAATGTCACAAATCAGTCGTCAGCTGAAGCGAACAGCGTTGCCAAGTTTACATCATAATCTGTGGTTCACATTTACTGTGGGTTCCGCATTCCGCGTTAAACGTATGTAGGTAAATAAAGGAACATACTGCATTTTATTATAAATAATTGTATTAACTTAGTGCAAAATGTTTTAACAAGCCTGATTTCTCGAAGTCAACTTCCGTTAAAAGAAAATAAACAAAGCAGATGTAGTTACCTGTTTGTAGGCACACCGTATTTTATGAAATAAAAAAGTAAATACCCGAATATACAAAATACACTACACAGGGTTACAAAACCATTAACAATTTAAAGCGTTTATTCAAATCTACCACCTTCCATATCTCCCGCATTTTTCCAAATGCATCATACCATACCGCGCAGAGAACGAGCAGGACATTGACAAAGTGACTTAAATGTGATAGAGGCTGTTTTAAATTTATTCGAGTAGGAGCCTACTATTTCCACAAGAACAATTTCAAGGCGACTGGAGATATCACAAACCAAAGGTTGGCGGATATTGCGCGAGAATTCACTCAACCCTTACCATTTTCACAAAGTTCAAGCTTTAGCTTAGCAGCTGATTTGCCCAATCGTCTTGAATTTTGCAGTTGGTTCCTAAATCGAAGTGCAGCAGACCCTAACTTTATTAACAAAGGACGGATGAATTATGTTTTACTCGTGCTGGCATTTTAAACAGGTAAAAAACATATTACTTTCTCAAAACAATAAGTACCTACCTAGGTTACACCAAAGTTTACATTTACACTAAAGTTTACATTTATTATGTAAACTTTGGTTATATGCAACTGCATATTAAATATTAAATTGAATATAATACTAAAACTGTGTTATTTAACATAATAAATTATAAAACGTGAAAACGTTATTAATATTAAAAATGATAAATAATTGTAATAACCGTATATTCGAAAACAATCATCACTATTAATTTGTTGTTTTAGCATCAACATTAATGAATAAATAACAATTGTTATCACAATATTTAAAGTAAAATATTTATTTATCATGTATCGAGACGAAGGGATCAGTTCACATCTGGCACACTTATTCCTACAAAAATTCCTTTATTATATAATATAATTTATTATAAATCCAATTTGTTGTTTACTTGATTTTTTAAGGCGCTCTCTGATTTACGACCAAACTCGCCAGGTTAGTATTTGACGTATAACCGACCACTTCGTACACTCGATGCACCTGGACGACTACAGCTACTACCAGAACACAGTGCGTATGCAGCGGTCTTTCAAATTTTACATTCAATTTCATTTTAAATTTGAAATGGTTCATCTTACGTCTCCTAAAAATGATGACACGATTTTCCTTTGATAAAAGACCGACAACTTTTTGCTCTACTTTGCATTGAATACGATCCTACTACAATATCATATAGTGCACGTGCAAGTGAAAAGTAGGTTAAAAGGTTAATGACCTGGACAGATTAGCCTAGGTCGGAAACACGTACCGAGTTATTTATTGGGCCGGAATTTGTCTCCGTCCGATTGTTTTTTTATGGAATATAAAAGTCTATCTTGCATTACTTACTGCCAATATTTAAATACTACGTAATTTTCACCCTATCTTTATAATTTATCTAGCGAGTGCTGGTTTCTGATGTCATTATTTCTGTAAAAAAATTGAAATGGTTACGAAATGAAATTTAAATTATTTGAACTCTTGGAGTTTTGTAAATAACATCAATATTAAATTTTATTTAATGTGAAACAGAGCTAATTTCTTTGCAGCCATAATAGTCACATTTGGTCAGATGAAAACCTGCACACTACTCGTCGGTTTAGCTTTCAGAGGAGATTCAGTGTCAATGTATGGGCAGAAGTAGGTATATGGCGATTGTTTAATTGCGCAGCATTTTCTACCTGAACATCTGAATGGGCCGCGTTACTTTCAATTTTTAGTAGAATTGTTTGAAAACCTTCCCCTTCAAATGCTACGGGATATGTGGTATATGCACGACAGAGCTCCGGCCCATTTTGCTCGCGATGTCTGTGGATTTTTAGACGATCAATGTCCAAATCGGTGGATAGGGAGAAAAGGGCCCATAAGATGGCCAACGCGCTCGCCGGGGTAGAGAATGTAGAGCAGTTGCGGAATCGAATCGAAGATGCCGCTGAAGAAATACATAACAACCCTGGTTTATAGCGTAGGGGGTTATGTGCACGGAAAGTGCCAGATCGAGGGGTAAACCGCTGGGGCATTGTGGTGTACAAAACCTAGGAAGTACTGGGAATTACAGGGCATTAGTTGGGAATTGCAGGGAGTTAGTCGGGCTTTGCTGGGAATTGCAAAGTATTACTAGGCATTACATGGGCATTACTAGGAATTGAGGGAATTAGAAGGGCATTACTAGGGCATTAGGCATTTAATATATTTAGTGCGCATGCGCAAGTGTTAACTCGCGTCACCTGATTGCGACGGGCTTTGGATACATGATACATGCAATAACCTGCAGACGTGAAGTCAGCATTGTTATAGTATTCTCTCTACGTATTAGCGGTTAAGGTTAATTTCTTTTTATTTGAAGGTGAGTAGAAATATCTGTTTATACTGTTTTACAACAAAAATTGACATTTCCATGCACTATGGGAAAAATTCTGATTTTCCGCATTTAATACAAAAATAACTATCTCGTAACTTCTTTCTGAAACTAATGCGTTGGGAATATGTTTGTTACTTATTTTCATTTTAGAAACCCCGAAAAAATCATGTTTTACCACTTTTATTACTACTTTGTTTCTTGGCATTTATAGTATTTTTAGTCAAAAGCTACTGAATAAATTTAAGTAGGTATATTTATTGTAAGCATTGCATATACACCTTGATATACACGATACAAGTTTTTGTCAGATTTCAAAGAAAGTTTTGATGTAAATCTATTAGTGTGTCGTATTAAATTGCACGAAGTGAAACACTAAAACCATTTGAGTTTGTGATGAAATATTGGTTGTGTCATCACACATAATTGTAAGAAAAGAGCTGCCTACAATTTCTTGCAAAAAATGTTTTCTGCATACTTCAAACATGCACTGTAATAGTTCATTCTGTTGTAATGAACCTGTTTTATTTTTGATTTTGTTATGTCCGAATTTAAAAATATTTCTTTTTATTTCGGATTATTTTACCCCGGCGGCGAGAATTATTGATTTTTCTACATATATATCAAATATCCACTCGCGGGTCCGACCGGCCGATACCCCACTCTGACAAACCGTTGGTCACGTGGAGGTCCCACCACGGCTGGTGTCAATCCGGTGGGGATTTGGGCAACAAAAGTCCTCGACATTCCCCGAAACCGACAGTTCGTATCCAGAACTCAATACCGAACAGACGTCCACCGCCAGCAAGTACTCTCCACCGAAGCCAGCCCGGAATAACCAGTGAACCTAGTAAGAATTATTTTCCTTATTATTATCCGTTCCAACCGGGTACAAGTCCGAAAAGATTTGTACACTTTAAGTGTGGAATTACTGTGGGCCCGAGAAGAATATTCTTGGTAACCCACACACAAATTCCACCGTCCGTCTCAACCCGCACGACAGTGCAATCGTTGGATTCGGCGTGTTAAACCCAATCCTGACGAAGCCGTCGTGTTTACTA